CAGATATTTTTACTAAACAGTTTTCAATGTGTTCTATGATCCTTTGTTTCCGTGTCTATGCCCCGCAAATGATAAAGAAAAAAAAGCCCAAGGAACAAATAGATTCGAGTTGATTGCACTATCCCAGAAAGCAAAGATGAAACGCACGGGAAATGTTTTGTTTTAAAATTCACTTTAATATCATCACAATAGTCTAAAGTTCATTTAATATGCATTCGAATTTAAGATGCGACTATCCAAACAGATGCGCCTTTATTATCTTCGTTATAAACAAAAATAATTTCACATTAAACATATTTGCGTTTGGTCCAAAAGGCCTTTAAGGCAAAGCGATATTTTATTATCTGTATTTCATTAAATGTCATTTGGACCAAACTTGTATGGTAACTGGCTGCAGCAAAACAGTACATTTTATAAATAAACAATATTTTCCTAAAACACTTCGAAATACGTTAACGAGCAATGTCAGAGTCTAGTGTTGTCCATGACCTATATAATATCGATATTCAATAGATTTTATTAACAATCGATATTCGGACAACACTATTAGGAACTAAATTGTTAAATTGGTACTAGAACATTTGCACGTAAACGAATCGAATATTTCTCAAGAGAATTGACACAGGTCAAAGATGGATGTACATTTTAATACTTCATGTCAAACATCTTGCTCGAAGGACCAACTTCAACAAAATCGATAGCAACTCTACAACAATTCAACTCTATAAAAATATATAAATCTAATTTCAAATAAGAACAAACCCGACCCCTCATTAACATTACCAGATATGTAAAACGCAATACATTTATTCAAACTAAATATAATTACTATTTATTATTGTTGAATCAATCCATTTTTTACTTTCAAACTTGCTAAGCGTCATTGATAAAGGGGGTCGATTTAGAAAATTTAGTAAAAAAATATTTTCCTATGCACTATCCCGGCATTTAAAGGTGTTCCCACATCACTTTAAAAACCAAATTTGGAAATTCCACCCAATGTGGGAGCACCTTGAATATATTTAATCTGTGAAGTGTCAAACGTTTAAGAACTGTGATGAAATAGAAAAAAACATCCGACGCAAAAAGACAGTGCAAGAATCGTTTGTACAAACTTAATATTCACTAGCAACATTAAAATGTATTTAGGTTCTATGTTTCCATATAAACTAGGTAATAGTTATTCAATGAATTGCTCTACTTTTCGCTATTTTGTTTTATTAATGTAATAATTTCACTAAGTCCCTAGCTTATAAATTTACAAGCCCTAAAACAATCGGGCCCGAAAACGCTAAGAGAAAAAATTTCCTAATCTCGGTCCGCAGCCGAAGAGTCATAAAAAATATTCTTTTTTTGCGGATTTTTCCATTTTCATTTACTAAAACGCCGCATCCATTCCACTATTTACATGCGAGTGAAAATAATTAGTGCGTGAACTCACCCGGGTCGAGAAACGAGGGGACAAATCGACCATAGAGAAATCGAGATCGCCAACAACAACAATTCGTTTACAAGTTTTTTTTTTAGCTACGACATTATAAAAAACGTACAAACACGTTTACAAAAATGTATATATAAGAAATACTAACGAACGAGACCAATGCCCCCCGCTGTGTGTGTTACTCACTCAGTGATATGCCAAACGAGAAAAATTAGCTTCTAAAAACAATCAAACAGTTTACAGCTACCATAGAGAACAGACAACGTACAACAACCCGCCACACAGGCGACCATAAACAAGTCAAGCAAAAAAACAACCTAAAAACTAATGAACCGAGTCGAAACAACGCAAACTAGTGAAAACGCCGCCCCGGCGGTACCAAACGTAAACGACACTCCAAATCAAATCGCATATATAAAACTAAATTCATATTCGTACAAACTAAACGGCAATCAAAATAAAAATCCGCGGGGCGACCAACCACAAAACCATAAAAAGTCTAAAGGCCCGTAAACGTCGACGCATTTTACTCCCAAAGAGCAATCATCCAAAGCTACCCAACGCGTCGACTACAATACTAAAGGCCATAAAAGCAAAAAAAAGAATAAGCGAGACAAATCCTAAACTTCCTACCTTCAAATGGATCGGAAACGGAAACTTCTCAATCTCAAAAAAACAAAAAAGTCCGCGCATAGACAAAACGAATCACTCAAAATGGCGTCCGAGACGCAACGCAACGTCTCGACGCCCTCAATATTCGAGGATAATCTAAAAACCAATCCAATCGCTCGCACAGACCACATATCCCAAACACCTCGGTATTACATCAATACAATACTATTCAAATAGCTGGGCCGAATTAAATTCTGTCAAACAATGACAGCTGTCAATTGACTGACAGTTGCAGCCCGAGCCGTCGCTTCTCTAACAACGTTGCGCGTAAAGTAAAAAATCACGACCGAATTCGCCTTCATCGTTTTCCTTTTTTATAAAAATACAAAAATACAAAATGGGACAGTGCGACAACACACAAACACACATCACCGCAAGGAGTGGTGGGGAGGGGGGGGGGGTAAGAGGGCCACATCCAGACAAATTTACACACAAAAACATTGAGCAATATTTAAAACAACGAATACCAATCGCACTCAAACATGACACAGAAGAAAATAAACGCTAAACAGTGTTGTCACAAGAAACCGTCGAAGTTAATTGGAAAAAAATACAAAAAACCCATATTTAAAAATCTAAATTTACCCACGATTAGGTCAAAAATCGAAATAGTGCCAAAGTCAAGCTTGATGTGATCATGGGGGCGTTAAGTTGTGTTTCAGAATTATCACCTAAAGAAGAGAAACATCTAATTCGAGAGAAAATCGCGTCAAAACCGCCTCGTTTATTTGCTATATTATTGCAATTAAATCTATAAGCCCCTGCCACAAACGTCAAGCAATAATTTCGCTGCGCAACTTTTGAACATGGCAACACAGACTGAAACCAATGCAAGGTCACCTGTGTCTCAAATTCAAAAGTCACACAACGCGTTTGCAGCGCGGCCAAAATTTTCTAAGACCCTCTACTTATTTGAATCTACGTAGTTTCAAAAAACTTTTCAATCCTTAAAAACCCCTCTAGAGCCCCACAAGGGGTACATCTGTTGCAATAATCGGTCTTATAGTATGGTCAACAGACCAAAACCCTTTCCCGCCCCACTAGGCAAACGAAACGTGCGTTTAGAAAGGACGGTTGCTCATAATTATTGCGAAATAACACTAATTTAGTTTTTTTTCCAAATAGGATATAAGAAGACCTTGAATCATCTTCTTGTAGTGGGTTTCATTAATGATAAGAAGTAATATAACGCTTAATTTATACAGTAAAAGAAAAAAAAACAATGAGAAGTTACCAATTGGGCCACAAACATGCAAGGGCAACCATCCACTTCACTAGGGGTGGGATTGGGGGTTGTTTCGCTACCCACACCGACAAGGCACTTTCGCCTCACTTGAATTTCCGAAAATATACAACGACACGAAAAAACTTTTACAAAATCATGGAAAAAACGTCAAAAAATTCGCGCAAGTCTTTTCACTACAGTCTATATGCGTCCGTGGTCGATCGGGATACGGTGGCTGTATCCGATTATTGTATAATTAACTTTAAGTACACACCCACAACACTAGTCTCGGACGACACGCCGTTATTAAAAATAAAACTAGTCCCAGACTCAAACTACCTCACCCATCGACAATCTGTCAATCTGTCAACAGCCACAGATTATAGTCAAATAGAAAATTGGTAAACCATCGACAAAAGTTACCACAAAGATTTCATCTATTAAATTTTTAGTTACACGTGGTCCTCAAAATCTGTGTTATTCATAGATAGAGAACCACAATATTATATAATTAAATTAAATAACTACGTATATTATAAATTATTGCTTTCAATCTTTAGAAATACATTTTAAGACAAGACAACATTTAAATGTCAAATGTCAAAAGTCCCGCGTCAACACAACAGCGCGTCGTCCCAAACACAAAGGTCTCGAGACCCGGCGACCTCATTCAACCGTCAAATCATTATCTAAAAAATTCAAAGGCAAACGTGAAATTACTAAAAGAGCTTGGATATAAATCCACTAAACTACCATCTATTGCACATTCCCGGCGTATCCCAAAGAAAAAACATTATATATATATATATATAAATTTACATTTATATAAATTTATTTTATTTATTACTAAGAAAATAAAAATAGAGCAAAACTACAGCCAAGATTGGTAACGATAATTGATTTGTACTAGATGTCAAATATCCGATAAAACGGACAAACAAACAAACAAACGACGCAATACGAAACCAAAGACAACGACAAAATTGTCAGTTACCGACATAAACCAAACACAAACAAGAATAAGACAATCCAATATACCTTAAGGCAGGGAGAAACACAGACATTCAACACGTGTAACTATAGACAGGACAACATAAACAATATGACACGTCTGTTTTCAAATAATCTTTGTATTACAAAATTAGTATACTATTTTGGATGGAATCTAGTTCTAAACTAAAAACCAAATTATATAGCTTTGAAATCAATTTCTCTCAAGAGAAATTGTGATTTTTTTTAGGATGCAAAGAATCTTGGTCATTTTCCCCTCTGCCTTAAGTCTAGTCTAGAACCAAATCAAGTCCTGATCTGTACCACACTAAATGACGTCATAGTCCGACGAAATAAGGGTCAAGACAAATGCAACAATATCCAAGTCAAAACAAACTAAGTTTTGGGGGGTTTTTGGGGTATTATTAATTAGAGGGAAAATTCATTCTAACTACACAGGTACAAATATGTTTTTTTAAGAACCAGACATTCCACTTATGTCTTACATTACGGCTTACGATTACGCCGGAGCAAAGGCGGAGAAAAAACGCGCTGGAATCGCGCGGTAACCGCGCGTTAGTCGGGCGGTTTTCCACCGCCAATGCCACGGACAGACCTTAACGACAAACTGACAACTAGCTAAGTTTTTTCTTTAATTTGAATACACATTTCGCTTATATCGATAGAAAATGTTTCTTAAATTTTCTTCTACACGTTTACACTACAATTTCGAATAAGTGAACAACACGGGACCAAAGATGGACAAGTCTAGTGTTAAGAAAACCCAAGAAAGCACCGACGCATTGTACTTTTACCTAAACATTCCTTACAAATAACATTGGATAGTGTTGCCATCAAGCAAAATCATACAATTCGGTAAGTGTTAGAAAAAACGCCAAGAGATTTATTGGCAAGCGCTGGCAACACAGTCACAACACATCGCCGTTTTGGTTTCGTAATCTGTGCACGCTCGCGACAAAACTCATCAATGTTGCCAGATACAAACTCCGGTAGCTTACGGTAGGAATTTATAGAACTACAATTACAGTTACTTTAGCTAATCTACCTTCTGAGTTAAACCCTATTTCCATTAAAACGTTTTGTGATCGCGCCAGTGGAAAAAGGATTAATCCAACAGCATTGAATAACCGTGTCGCTTGAGCTGCAAAGTAAGACTGTACATGTGGGGAGGGGTCGTAGTGTGGGGAGGAGGACTAACACCAGCGGAAGGGTACAGCACGCGGTCTGTCAGCACCCTCCTTCACCAGTGGCTTGTGGAACTCCCGCCCCGGCCGCGAGTGAATCGTCGCCCAGCAATGCTCGCAGTAGTACTGAAACATTACAAATTATTACGTCTTTAACAATCCTATAATTGGTAAAGAAACTGTTATTTTGGAAGAAAAAAAAGAAAATGTAGGGGCATTATAAATTTATATATATAAAAGAAAGTGGTGTTAGTTACACTATTTATAACTCAAGAATGGCTTTACAGATATGCCTGAAAATTAGTGAGGAGTTAGCTTAGAGCCAGGAGACGGACATAGGATACTATTTATTCGTTTTTTTCGAATTTATACCTTGAAGAGCTGCTTTTTATTTAACATCTATATATTAAGTTTTTTTACATATCCATGCGGACGGAGTCGCGGGCGACAGCTAGTATCATATAAATCAAAGTAAACATTATCAAAATGTTGTCAATTTGTCTGTGTGTTTGTGGTAGCTAATTTCAGAAACGGCTTAATATATTTGAATGTGGTTTTCACTAATATATAGTGATAAAGTACACTTAATATTTAGTGTTTGTATTTCTGCATTAACCGTGGGTTTCTGAGACCAAAATCTTTGACAAGACAGATATAAATATGTGTGTGTGTGTAAATGTTTTAAACAGGTGATATTGGTCTTAGAAACCCACAGTAATTCATAGTTTTTCTATAACAGGAGACATAGTACAGTAGTACGTGTTGGTATGTACCTGTAGGCAAGTGACATTGGCGCAGAAGAATGGCGCAAACTTGGAGCCGCAGCGTGCGCCGGCGCACTCATCACACATCTGATCGTCTAGCACGTACGGCTTCACCTGTCATGTCATAAAAGTAACAAAGTCAAATTCAAACACAAAAACACCTAGTATCAGAGTTTTATCAAAGGTCGAGAATTCAGTTTCTTGCCCAAGTTCTTCTGAAATGGAGATTGCAAAATCTTTTACTAATCCCAAAAACTAAGTCACAATTAGCAAGTTGTATGTATTTGTGTGTTTATGTCACCTCAACACGCTTGTCAATGTCTCCATGCTGCAGCTGCACGAAGCGTGCAGAGATGGCTGCGATGTACGACTGCTGATTGGAGAACGCGACCCGCCCCGCACCCTAACACAAGACAAATAATCATTGATAAAGGCTGAAAATAAAAGCCTAAATTAGGCCTTACAATTGATTATTTCCTAGTCACATTTAGCACAAAAACATTTCTAGATATTTCGTTTTAACACTCACTTTAGGATACTTGAGTTCAGGGTCGGTGTCGATGCCGGCGTAACACACGCCGCCGTACAACCGGTCCATAATCATCGCCAGCTCCACTGCAATCCGCGTGACAACATTTGTTAATATTGTTAGACAAAATTCTGAACAAGCGAGCAAATTCAAGAAATTCATTGTTATTCTCGTGTAGTAGAGACTGATTAAAGTCATCTTCATATTAACTCAATAATCGTTGGTTTCCGAGATCAAAATTCGTGTATAACACAATGCCATCTCTGTTTTTTCAAAGATAATAAGAGGGATGATGATATGCTTTATTCAGGAATTGTAGATTCGGAAACCAACGATTAAATCGACAAGCTAGACACATTCATAAGATACAAAAGTATACAGCAAAAGTTCTAAAATTACTATTGATTGCAACTTCAATAGTGGTAGAGCTTGCTTTAACATGTTCGCACGAATTGTCCTCGCTCAGTGAAATACCACGACCACACAGAAGACACGCCTCAAGTGCGAAGCAATTCCAACTGCAGTCTGATGAGTGTGCGTCCTGGAGGCCTAATTTAGTGCTCTTTCCCTTCCCATGTAAAGGATGGGAAGTGAGGACTTTCCGGATGAAAGGATGCATGGAAAGGGAAGATATTATCTTTCTGTGCATTCTCTCCTCCGTCGATTAAAGGTATGCAACGCATATGAAATTGCGCACGTCTATGGGCAACGGTCACTTCGCTATTTCAGCGATCTCAGGTGGCTCGCTCGTTTGCCACCTTATGATATAAAAAAAAAACTTTATAGACCAATGAATTACTTTAGAATCAATCTCATACAGTATGAAACAGCAATTACTGAAAGACAGAAAACAATTTAAAATCTATAACAGTGTGGTACTAACCAGCTTTGAGAGGGCGTGGTACACCACCAACAAAGACAGTCTTGCGTGGATCTAGTGGCATGCTGGCATCAAGTACAAAGTCAGCATCAGCGAGCCGCCACGGCCGGATCTGTACAGGCTTATCACGGATAGTGGGCGATGATACGCACAAGTAGAGCTTGTCGTCATCCGTGATGCACGCCTCCATCAACGCGGCAACAGAGCTCTCGTCCTGTGGAATGTACGAGGTGAATTTGTCAGACCAAACGGCAAACTAAACATTAGTTTTATAAATATCTAACAGTTGCATTTTATTGAAAGCCAAGTTAAGGATTTTTCTTTTTTATTGTTAAAAAATAACCAATTTGACTATATTATTTGTTATTTCATTCATACTAAAGAAAACAATAGATCTAGATTTTCAAAATCATAACCCAGAAATGATTCATGTCAAGAATTTTCAGTCAAAAATCCAAGGATAAACTCTGAAAAAATTATGCAGTGCTGTAAATGGTTTGTATTCACTAAAAACTTAAATAACAATCGCTTTTCCTAAGTTTAGAGTAACATTCTTACAGAGAAACCACATAACCAAAGAGAATACTCATTTAAATTTGTCGCAATTCTCGGTAAAAGTTACTATTTTTGCATACACTTTGATCTAGTACTAATCTAGTATCATATCAACTGACCTGAAACAGCAGAAAGGCGTACCCCTTGGGCGGGAAGTAGCTCTTGCTCTCAGCCTTGTGAGGCCAATCCACCACCAGGGGACCAAACCGGCGGAACGATGACGTGATCTCATCTGGAAAGAGAGAACATTTTTCATGTAATAAAGATGTTAATCATAACATTGGATGTTTAAATTTTAAGTTTTGATTTATATATCTCTACAATTAAATAATTTTTAACCTCCGTTTTAAAATTTGAGGTCGTTTAAAGCTAAGCATCGATATAATAGATAGATAGAAGATCCAAAAAGTGTCTGGACTTTGCATTTGAGTTTGGCTATTCTTTAAATTGATTTCAATTTAAATCGTGTATCACATATAAGCTTGGCGTCAGGCAGGTGGTCGTCCGTAAAAAAATAAACAAAAACCTTGTGCGCTGACCCCACATGAGTGGAGTAAAGCCAGCAAAATGATGACGTATAAAATGCTACAAGATTTTAAACACCTACTTTTTTCCACGATATGTCTTATATATACCAAAACAATTCTTTCAACTTATATGTTTAGAAATAGCACAGTAATAAATACATTTTGTACACAAAGAAGCCCAAAAAGACTTATATATATATATAAGAAAGTGGTGTTAGTTACACTATTTATAACTCAAGAACGGCTTTAACGATATGGTTGAAAATTGGTGAGGAGGCATCTTAGAGCCAAGAGACGGACATAGGATACTAATATTAATTTTTCGAATTTATGCCTTGAAGAGCTGCTTTTTATTTAACTTACTAATATTATAAATGCAAATGTTTACATTGATGTGATGTGGATGGATGGGTGTTTGAAAATATCTCAAACGACTGAATGGATCTCGATTAAATTTGGCATACGTATAGAACATAGTCCGAAAGAACACATAGGCTACACTAAAGTTTTTATATATATACACGCGGACAGTGTCACGAGCGATAGCTAGTTTATCATAAAAATATTACAATAAAAATCTTGGAAACATTTCACTTACATAATCAAAATGAAAAACAAACAGTACATAAATAACCGCTAACATTAAAAATTACGTGGCGTTCTTGACCCAATTTTTTTGCTATATTACGACAAATTACTAAATCAATATTGGATCTAGGCAACCGCGAGACGCGCCCGGCTTTGTTCGCAATCTAGGGCACCTAGTTCACAATCTAGTGGACCGCGCCGACGCAGATTACATGCGACCTAGCTGGCCCAGGTAGGCTTTGTTATAATCAATAGCTACACTACATATCCACCCACGTATAAGGTGTAGACAGATATTTCTCACTTACATTTCTTTAGTTGTGGACCGAAAAATTGGGGGACACAATTTTAGAAGGGGGTCTTTTACATTAGAAAGACTTTGCCATTTAAGGTTTGATTTAAGCAAATCACTGCGATTCTAAGGCACTGGTAATTGTTGTCATTTTAATGGGTATTTTGAGGATATTGTTTTGACTTTCGCATTTGGAACGCGTGACAGATTCAACTTCTAACAACAAAAATATATGTTGCGTAATAATTTGATGACTTTTCTTCATAATTTCGGCTTGAATAGTTGTAAAACAATCTTACTAATATTATAAATGCGAATTGTTTAGAGCAGTAGTTCCCAAACTTATTTTGTCTACTGCCCACTTTGAGAATAAATATTTTTTTAGCGCACCCCATATTTTCACATATTTAAAAATCACCATAACTTCAAACTAAATTAATTAATTATTGTGACCTGTATGTATATTAACGAAGAAATTTAACCAAATCTTTTACTATAACCCGCAACTTGAGACCTGCAGCGCCCACAACGTGGCGTTATCGCCCACTTTAGGAAAGACTGGTTTAGATGGATGGATGTTTGTTTGAAGATATCTCCGGAACAGGTCAACGGATCTCGATGAAATTTGGCATACGTATAGAACATAGTCTGAAAGAACACATAGGCTACTAATTAACACCGCGCATACGGAGTTGCGGGCTACCGCTAGTTTATATTAAATTAAGACGATAATATTATGTTTGGGTGCTACAATAAAATGCATACCGCATCGTAACCGCCTACAAAACGGTAAGGTTTCAGTTATCACTTTGAAGGCTTCAATATCTTTGTAAATGGCGTCAGTGATAATGCGGCTTGTAAGGTTTTACTAAAAATAACTCAAGCAAGACGCTGTTATCTTTTTATTATGACATGAAACATAGCAGAAATAAGTAAGCGAAGTAAACAATTCTTCCTTCTTTATGTGAACGGGTTAAGTGAAATTTGAGACAGCTAACTGATGTTTTCTGAGCTCAAAATCTCTGTATAAAATACGGTATCCAGTTACTATCTTGACGAAACAGAGAATATATTTTATACGAGGTCTCGGAAACCCACGATAAGTAAACGGCATACAGCTATTTTTAACAAAACTAATGTATTTCTTTCTATTTGAATTCTATTTCCCCTTTGCATTTGGTTTGTGTCCTTTTTTCATACACACTTATTTAACATAATGTTTGCACGTGCGTAACTAAGCAACGACAGTGAGAATCGATGCGGCAATTGCACTCAAGGCTAACACGTCACGTCATTTGCGTATTGTCGGCACGATAAATTGTCTGTTATTGGTGAGTTATTTTATATCTTTAAAAGGGTTAACCTTGTGGTCATGAGATTGGTTACACCAGGAATAATGGCCATTGATCAATAACGCTTATCATCCTAGTCATTTCTTATTACTAGAGATAAGTTTCATAACACTATTACACTATTATTGAGACGAAATGATTCTGGAAAATTGCTAACTTATCATCAGCTTACCATACCCCACTAAGGGTCTCAGAGTCTACCCTAAGTTACACTATGTGATAGTGAATGCTGGTCCAGTGCGAGTTGACTTCACACATTTTTTCCTTTACCGGCTAAATGTACATATGTAAATCGAAAAACACATTGGTACATGGCGGGATTTGAACCCAGGACCTGTAGATTACAAGTCAAGTCGCTTAACCCCTGAGCCACCGACGTTCTCTTGATACCTAGTAATGATAGCCAAATAAAGTAATTTAATATCGCGATTACTATTGTTAACCACTAATGAAATTTCAATAGCAGATTCTTTTACCAGCCTTCAGGACATCCTTTATGGAACTCTGAAAGTCTACATATAGATTCTCTAGAGGTCTTTTTATTTATAGGGGTAGTTAATACTCACCCTCGTCAATATCCGGAGGTAGTCCACCAACAAACACCTTCCTGCTGAATCGCTCCCCGTGCTCCGAGCCCGCGGACACGGGTGATGACCTCGCCGGAGAGCCTAAAGCACTGACGCACATCGACAGACCTGCAACACAATTATACATTGAGTCTATACACAATATGACATTTGAGTGTCAAAGTTATGGTCAGTAGATAGATTTGTCTTTTCTAGAGATATTGAAATCTGTCTAAAGAGGCTTATTTTAAACAATATTATGTATAGTAAAGATTTCTTAGTATGTTTGTTTATGTGTTTGAAAAGAATTGGCTACGAAACTACTAAACCGATTTGAAAAATTCTTTCACTGTTGGGAAGCTACATTATCTCCAAATGACATAGACTATATTTGTAACTAAGTTTTTTTTAATTCCGCTTGAAAAGTCGCGGGCAACTGCTATTAACTTAAGTTGTGTAGTTCAGACTAGTTCAACAGTGGTAAAGTCTGTTCTCTGATAAGTGTAGAGCACAATCCTCTTCCCTCTCCCATCAGCCACTGAGGAAACGATTGGCCGCGGAAGGGGAAATATCTTCTTTCCATACATTATCTATCCAATAAAGGTAAGCAAGACTTGCAACCTTTTAACTTTAACGCTCTAGTCTCTAGCCTACAACAAGAGTAGGTTGGAGTCTAGGCTACAATTAGAGTTAGGCTAGACTGACCGGCTGCGCTGAGCCTGGAAACAACGTCCTGCGTGTGGTCAGGCGGCGCTGAGGGCGAGCCAGCGCCCGCCGCGCCGCCCGCTGCTGGTTCCTCCACGCCGGGGAAAAACGGCGACTTGCCTGCAACAAAACACACACACAGTTAATAATTGTTAAGGTATATTTCTAACTTAAATCAGTTAAGACATTAAATTATAACTTTATCAGAGTTAACTATTCTTTAATAGAAGACGGAGTTGGTAGTTCAACGGTTGAAGTTCATCAAACACGGACTCTAGTTTGCATCCGTTGAGTTGCTTGATCGAGCGTCGCTGGCTCAGGGTTTAACTTGACATGTAATCTGCAAAACCTAGGTTCAAATCTCGCTAAACATTTACATACATATAATTATCCGAAGTTCTTACGGTGAAGGAAAATATCGTGGTGCACATATCTGTGAAGAAATTCAAAGATATATGAAGACAAACTAGTCCCTGACTTATGGTTGACTCCGAGGCCTTTAGTGGAGACGTATATGGATCTGATGATGCCTGAATCCGTGGATAAACTAAGCTGCCAGCTCAGCCAACTGGACTGGCAAGGTCATACTGTAGTAAAGAACGTGTAAAAATTACGTAGATTCCAGTCAAAACACTGTCATCAAATACCAGTCTCCATTTTTGTGTTATTGTAAATCTCCAGTTCTAGGAGTCAACGACATTAAAAACACAATTCTGGCGTCACGCCAGCACCAAAATATATTAAGCTGCTGTGTGTCAGTGAATTAGGACGCAGGTGCGGGATGGGAGGGGGGCACGAACGTGGAGTTTAGTCCACATCCTATTGACAAATTGTATACGTTTACGTCTGTATACTAGTGTTGCTAGTGAAAAGAGTTACATCTTTACAGATATAACTCTGTAAAGATGTAACTACATCGGATGGATCAAAATGTAGTAAACTTATAACAGATTATTTTGTTTAAAATCTATATCTATATATATAAAAGAAAGTGGTGTTAGTTACACTATTTATAACTCAAGAACGGCTTTACCGATTTGGTTGTAAATTGGTGAGGAGGTAGCTTAGAGCCAGGAGACGGACATAGGATACTATTTGGTTACTTTTTTTCGAATTTATGCCTTAAAGAGCTGCTTTTTATTCAACTTACTAATATTATAAATGCGAATGTTTAGATGTATGTTTGTTAGAAGATATCTCTAAAACGACTGCATGAATCTCGCTGAAATTTGTCATACATATAGAACATAGTCTGGAAGAACACATAGGCTACTAATTACGCGTTTGGATGGAATCGTAAAGTATAAATGTAAAAGTTTAAATTGATGGTATTTTACGAGATTTTTTTTTGGTAACCCAAAATAACATGGTCAGCAACTCCATTCAACCATCTAGATCACTAAAGAACGACTACATCAGTTAAAGGACACATTTTTTATAAAAGAGGTAACAAAAAACAAGGTCATTGAACCTTGATTCATGTTGGTCATGCGACTTACAATTACAAGCGACATAAAACTTTTAAAATTATGTGATAATAAATCCAACTAATAATAATAATATTATAAATGCGATATTTGGATGTATGGATGGATGGATGTATGTTAGAAGGTATCTCCAATGCGGTTGAATGGATCTCGCTGATAGATGTAGAACATAGTCTGGAAGAACACATGAGCTACTAAGTTTTTATATCTGCTCGCGGGCTACATATAGTATTTCTATTAAAATAATAAAATTTGAGTGTATCATCATCATCATCAGCTCACTATACGTCCCCACCGAGGGGCTCGGAGCCTACCTTAAGGGTGTCTATAATATTTAAAAATATTTATACGTATTTCGTTAATGATGTTTTTTGCGGCACGTTTAATATAAAAACATAAAATTTTCGTCTGTCTGTCTGTCCGTAAGGTCGCGTATATTTCGGGTAATACCCGGAACTGCATATGTTAGCTAAAATGTAGAAGTTTTTTAAAATAAACGAAAACGGAATTTCTAGGTTAACCCGTCAAAACGCGAAACAAGCTTGTCCGTCTGGTTGTCATGGAGATGAGAAACATTAAATATTTCTAAAAATATTACTTTTAAGAATAATATTGTTATTTTTCAAATTCATAGCTTTTTATTTGGATGCAGATGCAGATAAAATATCAAAAATTTTATATTAAGTTAGGTTATGTAAATTTTTACTAACAATTTTAAGGCATCGACCTTAGAATATTTAGTACTCTAATCACTAAATCACCGACAACTTTTATATATTTCCATACTGTAATGCATTTAATATACCAATATAAAAAAATATATTATTTTTCGTTGTTCTGATATGTTTAAAATTACACAATACGTTTAAACTTAAAACTACCAAAGACTCGCGTTATTAATTTGCGATAAGTGTTTTTAAAATATATATAATATGAAAATAAACTCACTCTTTCTGCAAGGAAATCTCGTGCCACGGATGAAAGGCGTTATCAATGGTATTGTATGCACCGACATAATATTACAATAGAAAATTTTTCGACAATATTTTCCTTCCGAAAATTTCTTCAACGAAACAAAGATGCGTCCGGCGCAGCGACGTACCGCGTGAATGAAAAAAATGACGCTCGCGTTCGAAATTCAATCATTCATTTTTAATTTTTTAAAAACATAAAACCTTTTTTTTTAAATAAAAGCAACGCTAAAATCAAACTAACCTAAAAAGCTATAACTGTTATTTTAACTGCTATTTTTAACTGTAACTCGTTTAACAACATTTTGTCACAATATCTGGGGTTTTCACAAACTGAAAACAGTGTTACGTTATTACTAAAATAAATTTTCATATCTTAAAGACAAAGACGTGTTTTATTTAAGTAATTGTCTGCCAGAAATAGTCTTGTCGTTGCAAATTTAAGCAATGATTTGAATAGCAGCTTTGCAAAAATGCATTTCATATTTCAAATTCATCTACGAGCTATATTAAGTAAATTCAACATGTATATGTAAACCTAGCTATCGCCCGAACTCTGTTAATGTCGAAATAAAAAAAAACCTTAATTAGCTTAAGTGTTCTTCCAGACTATGTTCTACATCTATGAGAAATTTCAACAAGATCCATGCAGCTGTTCTGGAGATATCTTCTAACAAACTTCCATCTAAACTTTCGCATTTATAATATTAGTAAGATTTGGTACGTTGTTTGATCAATATCGTTAGGATATAAAAGTCCTCAGTAAATAAGTAAATCTTGTATCACATAACAGGTCATATGCTTAGGTCATGCAGACGTCTATACGATCTCCCAGATGTTCTAAGATACCTAAACTGCCTGATAGCTTAAACCCTTTTTAAAGTGGACCGAACTTTATTTACAAGTTAACGTAGAACTGTAATATAATATAACTAAAAATCTAACCGTTTATAAATGTATATAATAAGTCTAGGAATAAAAAATGCTTTGCAGGTCTTGTTTTAAATCCAATTCGTAAATTTTGAAAACGCCTATAAAAATTTTCGCATCAATTTTTTCGAAATGAAATTTTGCTATTCATAACCTTGAAAAAAATTAAAATTTTTATCAAACATTTTTTTTAAAACTGAATACATATGTTTTTATAGAAATTGTTAAATAATATACGAAAGCTATAAAAAAAATTAAATTGGCTTCGAACCCGCATATTACTTTTATGATACCATCTAATGCGGAGACCGATTGAGGCCGTTTCTAGGTCAATTGGAAAATCAATAGAATGACATTAATCCGCCATCTTTGATTTTTATACGATAACAATCAAGGTTAGAAATGTCAAGGCAATTTGTTATTTTTAACTATTAATAATAATTTAATTTCTCTATCTATTCTATTAAAATTGATTATACGATAGCTATAAAAAATTACATAAACTTATTAGTAGTCTACGTGTTCTATGCATATATGTATATATGCAGTCGTTCTGTTGATACCTTCAAACAAATATCCATCCATCAAAATCCTCAGTCCTTTTTCCTACGTAGGCGTATTATATAAACTTCTTACGCATATCTCTCACAGAAAACATACTTCTGTCTTCTAATAGAAATCTTACTAATATTATAAATGAGAAAGTTAAAATGGATGTTTGTTTAAAGGTATCTCCGGATCGTCTCAACAGATGTCGCTGTAATTTGGCATAGATGTAGAACATAGTCTGGAAGAACACGTAGACTACGTATTAAGTTTGTTTTTAAATTCTGAGCGGAGTTAGTCGCGTGCGACAGTTATTCACTAATAAAAATCTCATACATTCATTGGTTGCACAACATTTTAGAGGTTAATATTGTGTAACGCACAGACCGACAAATGTAATAGACAAGCCGTATAGAGGATATAGTTCATTATACGTGACCTCTATTTGTTTGTTTCACTAACTCTATACCCATTGAGAGATTTGACTAACAGGAGAATGTTTACTGGTACTATATTGTAACACATTGTTAACTCTGTTTTATAAAAGACTAGCTGTCGCCCGCGACTCCGTCAGCGCGGAATTTAAAAAAAACTTTTGGTCGCAGCGTAATGTTATATAACCTAAAGTCTTGCTCTATTACTGGACTATCCAAACAAAAAAAAAATTTCAAATCGGATCAGTAGTTCCTGAGATTAGCGCGTTTAAACCAACTCTTCCGCTTTATAATATTTATATATAATATATAATATATATATATATATATATGTAGATAATGACATGGATGACGATATGTTTATACAGAGATGTTGGTCTCAGAAACCCACGGTTGGTAGAAACTAAATTTTACTTTTTACTAATATTATAAATGCGAATGTTTAGATGGATGGATGTTTTATTCGATGTATCTGCAGAACGGTTGCATGGATGTCGATGAAATTTGTCATACATATAAAACATAATGTGGACGAACACGTAGACGAATTATGTTTTTTTTTTAATTCCGCGAGGACGAAGTCACAGGTGACAGTATTGCTATGCTTTCAAAATGAATGGACTGTTAATATGTTGTTATACATGTGTTTCTGCAATGAAAACTGACTGGAGTGTATCAATGACGGATTCGCAAGGACGAGTATTGTAGAGCGCATGCGTAGTTTTAAGGTCAATGACCTTGTCAATCGCTTG